CACCACCTGGAGTCTACAATGTTACCCAGCATGCTGTTGGCATTGTTGTATACAAACAAGTTAAGGGCAAGATTCTTGCCGAGAGAATGAATGTGCATATTGAGCAAATTAAGCATTTTAGGAGCAGAAATTGCTAAAATGTGTGAAGGAAAATAACCAGAAAAAGAAGGAAGCCAAGACAAAGGTACCTGGCTTCAAATAAAGTGCTAGCCTGCTCCACCCAGAGCAGCACACTTTGTGAGAACCCACGGAAAGGAACCTGAGCTTCTGGAACCTATTACCTATGAATTCATAGCACGATGGGTGTTAAAAATAAACTATGGTCTAAAACAAAACAAACAAGAAACCAAGAATCCAGGGATTCATTTCTTTCTATATAATCCTTTAGGAAATGAGGATTATTTGGAGCTACATTTAAACAAAAAGATATAAAATAGAAAGTCTCTTTGCTTTTCTTTTGAACTCCAAGTTGGTTCTGTATCAGATTCTGAGCAATGTTCTGTTGCCAGCACCCTTCAAAAACTGCATCACTTAGTACAGTCTCCATAACGATTCCTTGTAGCATCATACATAAATGACTTAAAACTCCGCTCTTCTCCATCTGTTGGTATACTCTTGGGGCTGTTAGAGTTTCTGGAGGATCCATGACTGATTATACAGATACTGATTACTAATCCCTTTATCCCCTACTTATTCTCCTAGACTTTGTATTGTTGCGTCACAAATTCACAGCATCAAAGAGCTGGAAAAACTGAGCAGAGGTCGACTTTGTCCTTGATGACAAAGAAGCAGGCACAGAGAGTCATACATCTGCCTGACAAAAGAAGAGTGCCAGGAAGATTTCAAGAGCAATACACAGATGAACAATATTCACTCTGGAAGTCTGACTTCTCAGCTGACATTACAACAGCCAGCGGGGAGCTGGAGAGCACTACCTTAATCATGATTGCTTTTATCTGAATCATACACTACCATCTGGAAAATCCTTTCAACGTGGGCAACAGGCCGGTGTGGTGGCTAAGGAGCTCTGGAGCAGACTGATCCGGGCTAGAATCTCGCTTGCCACTTTCACTCTGTCACATATCCCTCCTCTCTGAAATGAGGCTAACGGCAGTATCCAGTTAAATTGCTACTGAGAGAACCAATTGAGTGAATATACAGGAAGTGCTTAGAATGGTGCTGGGTACCAAGATAAGCTCAAGAAATATTAATTACATGATAAAAATAAAGTACTTAAAAAATATCTTGAAAGAAGGGAATGCGGACCCTGAAACTGAGCCCACTCAACTCCGAGTTCAATGCTCTTTGCATTGGGAAGGGGGGCACCTGCTGCTCCTGAGAGTGAGCTGTGAGCCGTGGAACCTGGGAGCCCTCAGGCCCAAGTATTTACAAAAGGTCAGCATCTCATTGTCTTGTCTTTTCTGTCATATGTTAACAAGGATTTTTTTGAAGGATGACATGACTCATTTAGCCTCTGGTACATAGCTTCTAAGCTGTCTCTTCAAACTCCTTGATATATTTAAGAAGCTGACACTCTTTGGTTGGTGAATTATTTTTATCCACATCAGTTAATCCCAGGTGTTAACATTTTGTAAGTGATTTGTCTTTAATAAAACAGCGCTGTGACTTGAGGAGTTTGTATGCTGTTGAGCTAACAGTGTCGTAATGACAGTGCCGATGCCTTAACATTTACATTATATTTCTCCTAGAAGGCAACACACTGAATACTTTGAAAGGAGTATGTTTATTTTTGCAAACTCTTCAATTTTTATTTTCCTTTCTGATATTCAATGTGTGAAATTGCAGACAACCTATGGATTGCTTGAATATAATTCTATTGCAAAGGAAACCACTTATTTAACAGTTAATGAAAAGAAATCCAAATTGTACCAATTCATCAATAGTTCAAACCTCCCAGGTCTAATTTCCTCCCAGATAAGACTGAAGCTTTTACTCTTTTTTTTGTTTGTTTGTTTGGGCTATAGGCCATGTGTGCTTGTGGGAGGAAGGAGGAGAGAAAGTGAGAAATCACTCCACAGGGGGGATGGCCAACCCGCACCCCCCCCATTCTCTTCTTGGGATTTTGGGCATGTACTCATGCATGTATACACACATACTGCACACACACACACACACACACTGTGATTCTCAGGCTGCCAGTCCAGAACTTAAACCGAAGTTGGCCATGTAGGATCCATACCACCTGCCGGTCTGCAGCTTTGACTTTTCATAGTACTTTGTTTATATTCTTTTTATGTCAGGTATTACATTTATTATTTGCAAACATGTCTTATCACCTTCAAACCATAGTCATAATCTAATTGCCTTACTCATTTTCAGCACTACTGCTGTTTTCCAAGCACGGCTGTCACTGTCTGCCTGGATTTCTGTAGTATCCTCCTAAACGGTTTTCACCTTTGCCTCTCCCGCCCCACACCAGTCTACTATCAACAGAACAGAGAGTGATCCTGTAAACATTTAGGTTCCATTATGTCACTCCTCTCCTCAGCCTATTTCACCAGAGTAAAAGCTGAAGTCCATGTGATGGCCTAAGGCGTGTGCACGCTTGCTCTCTTTTTGGGAGAGGTGTTTGCTATAGGATGTGTGCGCTCGCCAGAAAGACAGAGAGAGACAGAGAGACAGAAAGCGAGAAATCACCCCCCCAGGGGGGATGGCCATACTGCAATCCCTTCTCCATTCTCCTCTAGGGATCTTGGACATGCACACACATGCACCCGACGTGAGTTTAGGCTACCGGGTCTGGGACTCGAATGGTGGTCAGCTACATGGGAGTCCAGCAACATAGCTATTATGCCAACTGCTGGTCCCTGAGGCTCTATATAGATCTGCTCCCCCTGCCCTCCCCACCCTTAGCTTCCATCCTTCCCTTCACTCCCTCTGGATGTTCCCTGAACTCACCACCGTGCTCCTATGACAGGGACTTTACACCCGCTCCTCCTGCACAAAGAACAACCCTTCTGAGTATCCATGTGCTGTGCTTCCCAGCTTCCCCCAAGACTTTGCTAAAATGTCATCTTTTAAAATGAGAGACCCCCTCTTGCTAGCCCATGTAAAAAAGGCAGATCTTCCTCTTTCTCCCATCTCGATTCTTTGTAGCCTGCTTCATTTTTTCCCTTATAGCACCTATCACAACGGCACCTTATTGATTAGGTTATCATCTGCTTCCTCTCCCTTCAACAAAACCTAACCTCCAGGAAAGGACTTAGCTGTTCATTGCTATTTCCCCAGCACCTAGAATATCTCTGGGACAGAGCAAGTAGGCACTAAATATTTACTAAATATACGAACGGGTCTTCCATCCTAGAACATAAGCTCCTGGAAGGTTCTGCCTCATTCTTCTTCACATTTTTTACATCACCAACTGTGGTGACTTTCATTAAATGGATCCTTCCAGACACAGCACAAGGGAATGGAAGTTACTGAGAACGTGTGGGGTAAGTCTACACTGGAGGCCACACTGGTTCTAACATGAAAAGGTGGCTGTGGAAACAGTAAACACTTTTCCATCTACTAACATTTCTGCACTATGGAAGTATTTTTAAGGCGTTCACGAAATGGGTATCAAGATAGCGTTTACTTGCTTAAATCGTGATTTAACCAAATTCACTATTTTTAACTGCACACTTGTATGACTCAGGACTCTTGGTTCGTGCCCTGCTCGTGTTATTTAATCTTCCTAATGACGCTTGCACAGAAAATACACTCGCACTTGGCCAAGGAGGCAGCCTAGGCTCGGAGAGGGCAGTGGCCGGGTCAAGCTGGCTCGGCTGGGGGGGGTTCCAAC